ATTTTTTGCAAGTAATTTCCCCTAATGTAATGCATTTCCGCAGGTCATTTTCACTAATATATGCATTTTAGTAAACATCTTTTTGCTGGAGAACTGCATCATAAAATCCAAAATGTGGATCTTGAAGGATGGCTGTGTTTTGGTCCTGAGAATCAGCCTTGTTGACCTCAACAGAACTTTCTTCTGAGTAATCAACTTACTACAGAATCAGATATCAGAATCTGCTTCTTTATTGCATAAGACCTTATTATTATTATTATTTTGCATTAAAGGGACTTTCAGCTGCGTCAAAGCACTGATTTCTAGTAAAGTTTACAACTGCCCAGAGATATTGTATCAACAATGGACAGCTTAAACTAAACACAAATGAGCCAAACTCAAGAGCTGGGAGGGTGGGGGGAGGTGAAATGGCTTTTAATGTTGTGTGATTACAGACTCTGCCATAGGACCATCTATGAATCACCTTGCTTTGAAGTATAAACAGGATATAGCTCTTTCAACCACTGCACTGTTTACTAAAACGCCTACAAGTAAACTGTGCAGTGGTTTAAGGTTAACTTAGGCAAAGCAATCATTCTAATTATACCAGTTTTGCATCTGCTTGCACCAGCATTCAGAGTTCAGAGCTGATGCCTACAGCTGTTCCAGCTTCACCCAAGTATTTCTGTGCAAGAGAAAACTGTTCAGTGTTGCTTCTTGAAATAAGACCATTTGGAGAGTTCTCGCCGTGCACAAGCCATACACAAAACAGCTCATCATATGGGTCTGGTGGTTTGTGATTCCACACCAAGAATTAGCAGAACTGTACATGCATGCCTTGCTCCATGGTGTTGGTGGCAGAATGCCTTTGACTACCAGTCGCTGGAGATCAAGGTGGAGATTGCACTATTGTGTTTAGATTCATGAGCATCTTGGTGGCCACTGTGAGAACAGACTGCTGGACTAGATGGGCTCTTGGCTTAATCCATCACACCATTTCTTATGTTCTTATGCTGCAAGATTGCTGCAGAAGTTTCTCCCAAAGAACTCACAAAACATTTAGATCCAGACATGAATTTCAGACACTTGAAAAGGCTGACTTGAAACATTTCCCCAAGCTTCTTTTTATGACATCCTTTGGCCATCTTCTTCCAAAGCATAAGCAATGAAGAGTGATTACAACTGAGGGTATAAATCTCAGCATAAGCGGGGCGGGGAGAGAAAGTAGAGCAGGAGAAATATTATGAGACAAGAAGAAATTTGGCTAAAGAGATTGACAGGAACGTCAGCACTTCAAAATCTAAACTGCAAGTGTGTGTGTGTTAGAAATAAACCAAGTTCTCAAATAGGCACAAAGGCAACCAAAATACTTCCTGGATATAATTTCTGTGAAGAGGCTACTACTGCACTGACATCTTCTGGCTGTTTTGGGCTCAGCAGGAAAATCCGTAACTGTCTGAACCATCTATTTTAACCTGTTGTGGGGTTGGGCATAGAACAGTGTTATTTATGTCAGTCTTTCAAGAACTTGTGGAATTCTTATCTAAAAGAGAGTGGTGTTGCGGCATTATTATTATTTATTTGTGAAGCCCACAAGCCATGTTTGACCACAGGGATCAGGAACCTCAGGCCCAGAGCTCAAATGGGCCTCTTTATTTATCCCTCAAGACTCTTGCCAGACACACACCTCACCAGCCCTGCTTCACACCTTTCCTGAGTGCTTTTGCCTGGATGGAGGACAGAGGGCTGTGTGGCAGTGAATATAGAGACTCACTTAAACTTATATTTGTGGCTCTGCACACCACTGTGGCATGTGGCCCCTAGAAGGAAGAAATGTGGCCCTCCAGCTGAACGGGGCTCCCCACCCGATTCACCATATTGTAGCCTCAGCTTCTGAGTTACGTCCCAAGAATCTTCTTCCTCTGCCTTACGGTGTATTCTCTCAGTCACCAATACCAACCCTGCAACCGGCTGACGAAACAGTGGGACGAAGAACGACTTGAACAACAGCAGCTGAACCAGCAGAGGCTGGTCTGTTAGGACATGTGCAGCACTGCCCCACCGAGCCCAGTCTGCCCTCAGCCTGCTTCTCTCCTGATATGCTTCCTACCGGTCTAGGGGGAGGTATTGGCTGTCGGCTTCCTTCTCCTTTGTCTCAGCATCATCCTTGTAGAATTCAGCAGGAAGGAGGACAAAACCAAAATTAGTTGGCTCCACGTATTATTGGCCTTTCTGTCCTCCCGGTCCCAATGGGCAGCAGCCTCCATTGGCAGCTGGTATTGTACAGTCATACAGAATCAGAGCCAGGTCTGCCAAGAGCCAGAATAAAAACACATTTTACAGAACAACTTCAGCACCACCTGGTGGTTAGCGAGACTCATTCACCATCAACTAGTGCATCTTGCAAAGGTACGCATGGGCTGCAAAAGGGAACCTGTATCATTTAGAAATGGAATATTGAGATAAAAGCTGGATTGTTGCTTCTGTAGTGCTTACAGCGTACCTGGCACCAGACTATATTCAATGTGCGGTTAGAGTTATGCCATGGGAGCATCGCTCCTGGTTCATGATATAAACACGCATACACCCACACCATTCCTACAACTGGTTGTCCTGCCAACCTAGCAGTTTGAAAGCATGCCAGTGCAAGTAGATAAATAGGAACTGCTGTGTCAGGAAAGTAAATGGCATTTCCATGCGCTCTTGGTTCCATCACAGTGTTCCGTTGCGCCAGAAGCGGTTTAGTCATGCTGGCCACACGACCCGGAAAGCTGGCCACATGTGGACAAACATTGGTTCCCTCAGCCTGAAAGCAAGATGAGCGCAGCAACCCCATAGTTGCCTTTGACTGACTTCACCATCCAGGGGTCCTTTACCTTTTACAACTGGTTGGCAAAACAGAGACAAAAAAACCCGAGCCAAAGTTTTGCCATCCCAGTAACAGAAGAAACCCCGCAAGAAATCATGAAAGTGCAAGCTTCCTGCACACCCAGCATTTTAGGAGGGTACTTGATTGAGAGAGAAAATGTAGCCACTCATGCTTAGTGCAATTCAAGGAGCCTAATGGTACATCTCCCTGTGCCCCCCACCACCCAATTCTTCCTCTGCCTGCCTACACCTATAAGGCTGCATGACATGAACCTGTCTCTCCTGTGCAGTAGGGTGGAGATAACCCATGTTTTGATCTGAAAGATATCCAGTTTTAGTTTAGCACAATGAAGTAATACACTTCACAGCATCCACACTAAGGGTAAAGGTGTCCAGTGTTCTACTTAAGTTTCACTTTGCTCCTTCCCCTTCTGGAAACTCTTGATTAGGAGAGACTAGACTATTAGGCAGCATTCAACTTAGACTAGTGCAATAACTCTTGGCTGCACAAGGTAACTTTGCCACCCTCTCCTCTCCCCACTGGAGATGCGGGTGGCGCCGTGGGTTAAACCAGAGCCTGGGGCTTGCCGATCAGAAGGTCGGTGGTTCGAATCCCTGCAATGGAGTGAGCTCCCGTTGCTCTGTCCCAGCTCCTGCCAACCTAGCAGTTCGAAAGCATGTCAAAGTGCAAGTAGATAAATAGGTACCGCTCCGGCGGGAAGGTAAATGGCGTTTCTGTGCATTGCTCTGGTTCGACAGAAGTGGCTTAGTCATGCTGGCCACATGACCTGGAAGCTGTACGCCAGCTCCCTCGGCCAATAAAGAGAGATGAGCGCCACAACCCAGAGTCAGTCATGACTGGACCTAATGGTCAGGGGTCCCTTTACCTTTACCTCTCTCCACTGAGTCATAGTCTGCTCCGGAGGATTGGGGGCACCCATGGGCTAGCTATGCTCTAGCTGAGTACTACCAGTGATTACTTACACCAGGTAAGTATCTCTAGCTCAAGATAAAGTCCTATCAAAACGAATGTAGTGGTAGGTGCGTCATACTGAATTAGAGGCGCATGGTGAAGTTCACTTGTAAAACAGTCCAATATTTACAGCCTGGCTCTTCCAAAGTGAATACAAAACAAATCAGTTTCCAAAGATTATCCAAAGCAACACCTTTAAAGCACAATTGGTAAGATGGCATGGGGTGTAAGCATATCCATCTGAGAAGTCCAAAGGAACACTCTAAGAAGCATCAGATCTAGGTGTTTTGTCAACAATCCTGCTTTAAAACTAGTTAGTCAACACTGAACTTGAAAACCTACATAGTTAAAAACTAACTTTAATGAAATGATTGTCTTCATTTTTGTGAAAATATTAATTTACTGCCATCAGGCTTCAATAAAGGTGTTCAGGTCCCAAACAGCCCTTGATTTTGTAAACCACCACCAAGCCATGTCTGTTTTAATAGTTAACTAAAACTCTGGATATTGTCCATTTTCTTAATGACACTACTTTTGAGGATTACTGTCATATTGAGAAGTGTATTTTAATATTCCAGGAACTCTTTCTGGTCATTCTAAAAGCAATTCTTATATTTGCCCAGGTACCATCCGGAGCATAAGCACATCATTTTCTTTCGCAATGCTTGTAACTCCAAATATAAGTCAGCTATAAGGTGCCAGACTAATCCTGCTTCAAGTTAAAATCTGAAATTGGGAAGGAAAAAATAACTAGATATTCTATCGTAGTAAGGTTGTAGAGGACTCTGCACCTATCTTTGTTGGAACCTGCCCAAGAGTGGCTGGGGAAACCCAGCCAGATGGACGTGGTATAAATTGTTGTTATCATCTGCATAGAATAAGATTAGTGTGAATATGGCCACTGCCAAATTCCATACAATTATTTAACCATGTGTACATTAAATAAGATTTCATATTCAATACCTTAAGGGGGAAAAATCCTCCTTATTGTGCAGAAACACAAACCAGAAGTTAGAATTAATTCTCAGAAGTGTGAAGGCAGCAACCCTGGATAATTAAAAGAACCACAAGATATACACAAGTATCTTCAATGTTATCTTCCAATATATTAAGTGAAGACATTTTATTTTGCATGTGTTAAGATGGATCCAGTCAGAGAAATAAGCTTTCTGCATCTGAATAATTTATCAAAATAATGTTTATTTTCCCCACAAAGAATCAGCACTCATTGTGGAGGATCCAGATTCCTGGGTCTTGCAGCATCCAAATAAAGCTTTTGATTTACACCAGTTCTGTGAAGTTTAGAATTGAAGCAAGTCTTTTCATAATTACTGTAGTACAAACTGCTAGAGAATTACTGGTATGTGGAACAATTACAACAGTTCAGGAAATGGATGTCTTAGTGCACTTATGTCTTATTTTTTTTGTTTAGCAAACATGCTATATTGTCTATTGTCTGTGCACAAAGTGAAAACTGTAGATTCCCACTGTAGAAGAAATCCGTCTCAGTAAGCAACACACTGTGTCAAGCTGCCCTTTTCTCCCTTAGACCTGCAGTCTTAAGACAAAAACTTTGCCAAACATTACATAATCTTTTTATTATTATTAAATGAGAAAATCTCATTCTCTTACATTGTCACATTGCTCGTCAGAGAAATGCTGCAGTGATGAAGAAAGTCAATGTTGGGGCAAAGTCCTCATTTCTACAACATTCATTTACAGAAATTATAGTCATGTTCAACACAGCTCATCAACACAACATTCTTAGGTTCCTTCACGAGGAGTCCAAAAGATCCTTCCTCTAAGGGGGCATGTCACTATGTAAAATTATAGTTCTCCCCTCTTTTGAACGATTCATTCTCAAACTGCACAAGATGCAAGGCAGACATCCTCTAGAAATCTTCACACATCATCATCATCTGATGTGTCACTGCTGCTTGTCTCCGTGTCGTCATTCTCAATTGTTGGTTTGAAAGTGCTGTTTTTCCAGGGACTGAATTTGAAGTCACAGATGAGGCCATTTTTTAGAATACCATTTTTCCTAAGGCCATTTTTTTGTAACTGAAATTTAAAGCACAAATCAATTTAGCTATCTGAAAATGGCAGCTTGAAAAGCATTTATTTTTGTACAAGGTGTTAAGCATGTGTATTTCACGTCTGGCAACAAAAATTAACTTCGCAAGATTCAACAATGGCATTAGTACTATGTTTTGTAGATGCTTGCATTTCCAGGTTTCTTTTGGTTTTTTTAGTAACAAACATGAAAATAAGCATGTAATTAGATTCCTGTCATTAGATCTCAAGTCAAAGTATGAGGTTAAAGAGAGCCATGAACATAGATGTAAATCCCTAGTTACGATTCCATTTCCCATAAACTGAGTATGGTTTACATATTGTTTACAATATACAGTAAGTGGTCTCTACTGCCACATCCCTGATTCTATAAAGCTGAACTGGATAAAGGGGGGAGGCTACTTTAATATGAATACACAAAACTTTCTGCAGCCATTAGTAAGCTGAACCCCATTTCAAACCCAATTCAAATAGTTCACACATCCCTTTCAAATAGGGGTCTATGGTCTTATAGGAATTACCTAGTTTCTAGATACCCATCTTCCCCTCCTGTATCTCTGAACCAGTAGATTTACAAAATATTTCCTCAGACTAAATATTGGAAATTCCCCCTGCAATATTCAAGGCTCAAATCTAAGGGATGGAACAGGATGCAAAAAGTTTAAATAAGAGGTCAACCAACAGTATGTCCATCTTCTATCCCACTCAATAGAACATTTCACTTGAAACATAAGAAACTCAAGTTATGTAGGGCTAGCTTTCGCTCTCACCTGTTCACTAATGACCTGAAATTCCCTCATTTCATCCTCAGTTAGCGGAGCACAGGTCTCATCGTTTTCACTGTCTTCCTGCCAACCCATCTCCTTTAACAATCTTTACAAAAGAAATAAAAATGTGGACATTTATAAAAAGATCAGCAACTTTCATTCTCCAGACCCACTCTAATTGCTCTGAAGGGTGCAATTTAATTCTTCTGGCCAGCTCTCACAACCTTGCATTCTTAAGACTTTTTGGAGAAAGTGATTGAAAAAGCAAAAGGTTTGCTTCACTTCCCTGTCCATTTTTTCTTCATGCCTCTCTTCTTCCCATTCGAGAAAGAACATCAATACATCAGAAAACCCAGTGCACAACAGGGGTCTATACATGGATGCTTATCTAATGTATTTCTAATCTATTCTTTAGGATACAACAGAGGCAAATGTTCAACTTAAAACAATATAAATAAAACAACACTTCCAAGGACCATACAGCTGAATGACAATAACTATTTATGTGCAGTATGTGAAATACTGAATCAAAACTATCAAGTTAATTCCTATTGTTAGCCAACTTAACCTTGTATACAAGGGGTGGGAAACCTTCAGTCCTCAAATCAAATTTGGCCAGTCAAGGGGCTAAATTTTGTCCATGATACTATTTTCCCCAAACCAGAGACACCTGCCCTACACCTGTCATTATGTGACATCAGGTGTGGGGCAGGTGGAAGTATGGCTTAATCAGCTGCGCTGTTGTTCCCCTGAGAAACTTGATAGCCTAGCTGATCCTTGCAGAAAACCAAGATGAAGTCACTGCCCATCAGCTGATGTGCGCTGAGTTCAAGCCTACTGGATCAACTGCATGACTGAGTTCCACTGGGAATTGATGTCAATCGACTGACAGGTTGTCCCACCTACCTGTCAAAAGTTGGCCTATGGACAGACAAGGTTCTGCTCCACCAGGTCAAAACGTTTCCCTGCCGCTGCTGTATACCTATCCTTCCAGCAAGCAGTATTTTTCAACAGGTTAAAACCATGTCAATAACTGGAAAAATACATACCGATGCTCTGCTTCAAGTGAGCTTGAAAGGACATCGGTCTGCGGAAATGTTGAAGACCGAATGATCTGCTGAGACATCATTATAGCATTTCTATTTTCTTGAGGAATTTCATTTTCAAAGTTTCGGTTTATGTCCCTCTCTTCGTGACCATTGTTGCTGTTATGTAAATTAAATTCATCATCATCATCCTGTTAAAGAAGTCACATATTTGAGTAAATTCCAAAAAGATTTGTCCATGATTTGCATGAATATAAAGACGCAACAAGCCTACATATTGCATCCCACTGGAAGTTAAGCCCATAGAAGAGCACTGCTAGAGCTTGTCCAGCATTCCATTTTCCACAGAAGCCAACAGATGTCTCTGAGAAACCCACAAGCAAGACATGAGTGCAATGGAACTCTGCTACTGTTGCTCCCACCTAAGCAAGTGTCTTTCAGGGGCACACCACCTCCAATTCTGGGGAGAGCATATAGACATTGTGACTAATGAGACTGTTATCTCTGAATTGTGAAGCACAAAGTACCTTTGTTTACTTTTGGGGTGTGGTACAGGACTGACTAAAACAGCTGAATTTTAAGCTACATAGGATAGAGACAGTAAGTTCTGATGACCAACATATGCTAAGCTCACTATGGAAGATATTCCTTTAAGTAGATTCCAAATAGAAGACAATCCTTATCTACATTTTACGTCACTCTTTATGATCAACATGGCATCACAAGTCTTAAAGAAGACGCTGGCAATCCCACCCGCCATGGAACCCATTGACTATACACAATTTTGGCTTTATGCACTATCCTCAGAACGCAGCCCCCACGTAAGCTGAAAGTCTGTAGTAAAAATGAAACACACATGACGCTCTGTACAAAATTTGTAGTACCTTCTCTTGCCCATCATGCTCCTCTTCCACTCGATCCCGTTTCAGTGTCTTCAAGAATTCACTCTTCTTATCAGTGCGCATTCGAGTCAATTTGGTTAAGCGAGGCTGGCCAAGTTTATCAACTGGAGATGAGGAATTTGATCGATTACACTATGGTGGAGAAACACACAATACTGAGATGAAGAAAAACTTCATGGCAATGTTTCATTTTGTTCAGCTGCCAGTATTTCTGTTTTATTTAAATATAGTTTCAAATTTCCATTTAATTCTCAAAAATCACAAGTTCATGAAACATAGCTTCTCAAAACTAGAAATACCCCAAATAAAAAAATAACCAATTTTTCTGTACCTCTTTCACTGAATTCTGTGATCCAACAGCCTTAGCAGTAGATTTGAAAGCACTAAAGTTTCCAATACCATATGGAGAATCATGAGGAAATGGAGGGCCAAGTTTGTTATCTTTTGTTTGGCTTTTCCACTGTGTTGTCTAAATAAATCAAAATGATGAACAATTTTTGACCAGGTTAATAAACTAAATTCTTTACATTATTTAATGTTTATGACAAGAACCTGAACATGTTTATATAGCACCATCAGTCTACATTACAATATATGGGGGGGGGGTAATTAAAGAGAGGGGTTGGCCCCTTCCTTGAGAAGCTTAGAATCTAAATTTTGACAAAGAGAAAGAGAAGGCAATGAGAAACAGAGAGAGGTAACAAGAGATAAAGGAGTACACAGGGTTGCATTTATTTTGCTTTAATACGTGTCTTACATTTAATGCTTTAACAGAGAAAGTGAAAAACATTACAAAACAAGAGAAGAATCTGCAATCCCCTCCTCCAAGACACATTACTTATACACATCTTACCTTTGCAGGTGGAATGACAGGTTTAGGAACTAAACCTTTATAGACACTTGTACCAGTTCCATTCTTTACTGACTGTGAATGAATATTTCCTGCTACAGGGAATCCAGATATCTGTAAATCTTTCGTACTGCCTTTCTTTATAACCAGCATTCGTGGAGATCTAGATTTTGGGTTCAGAGGATATTCTGCAAAGAAACAAAAGTTTCATCTTATATATTGTGTTGATATTTTTTAATTCAGGAGGAAAACACTGAAGAGGCTCAGGTGATACAGTTCTCCTTATACTCTGTAGATCATCATAGCAAAACAAGTGTTTATGTTTATAACCAGGTACCATGGAACTGAAAGAAGCCGTCTGACCTAAGAAGAGACAGTATTTAAAACAGTCCAACAGCTTTAGGCACAGAACATCATCTTGACCCCACCAAAAGACTGCCAGCAGGACATGAAACAAAACAAAATGATTTTAAAAAAAGAGGGAGGCATCAGCATACTTGAAGGAACCCCAAAGTCTTTGTGAAGTACAAAAAATATTAAATACAAAACCTTAGGTGATGAAAAAACCCAAAGCATGGCCCAAGAATAACCAAGCATGCTTAGTAGCCATGTGATGCTGCATGATAGTTAGAAAATAAAAACAGAATGGAGCATGGAATGGACTATCCTGGGAGGAGGGCACAGCTGGCTGACACCTAATTCTTGTTAGGTGACATGCATATACTGTAACTGCTGCAGGCCCCACTTGCATCAGAAATTTTCTCTAACAATGCACAGCCATCATGGTTTCAGGAACACTAACACGTGATGGCTATCTTTAGTGCAAGAATGTGAATATGCATACATTATAACTCCTTATGAGCAGCACAGCCACATTATTCTGATAGTTTTCAATGCTCAATAAATGCATCACAAAAATCAAACAGCATCACAAAGTATAGCTGACTTAAGGTGCAACAATAAAAATCACTTCAAAGGCATTTTTAAACAAAATGACACTCAAAAAGCTTTACTGTAATTTAAAGCCCAGTGCTCTTACCCCAAACACCAGCAGCTAATGATTTATTCTGGTTTGGTTCTCTCTCATATTCAGGATTCAGGGATGGCTGAAAAGAAGGGGGAAAACAAAATACAGTTTGATTTAAGATCTACTGGAAAATATCCAAACATGCCAGATCATAAATATTACAATTTAGAGAGATGATTCAGATCTGGCAAATGATGTTTACCAATGAGGGTGCTGAATCTTATTTCAGCATCACTCAATGAAACCTACATCTAACAAAATGAAATCTACATAAAACCACCAATAGAGGTCACCCAAGGGTTTGGGGTTCAAAGTCATCACTATGCAATATCCAATGCTATCTTTACTTTCCATCTCACTCCAGGGAGGCTGTAAAGCAGGGTTTGGGAACAGAATCCCACTGGCAGACCACATCTTGATGTCGCCTACACCACACAGGCTGGCAAGGCCACTCACCTGTTAATCATCTGGAACCACCCTGAAATCATAACTCAAGACAGGCTGAAAATTAAGATCCCTGCTGAAAGTAGAGCTCAGTCCCTGCTTTCACCAGATTGGCTGTACTAAGAAGTTCCCAAATGGGAACTCCCTACTGTAGCTGATCACAGTGGGGGCTTGCTCTCAGCACCTATCAGCACTGACACCCAATTCCCATTGTCAAGTAAAGGTCAGGAGTGCACTTCTACCAATGGAGGTCTTGATTAAAGCTCAATGAAAGCACATAAATGATGCACTTCTGCGAGTGAATGAGTTCATTATGATTAACTTACAAAATCTTCGGCTTCAAATTGTTTGGGTTCTTCCTTGTCTTCCTTTTTCAGAGTCTCACTTTCCGGTGCATTTTTTTCATGCAACCCTTGGCTTTTTCCAGACTGAAAGCTACTGGCGCGAGCACGTGAACCTCCGCTATGATATCCCACTCTGTGGTGTGTGTTTTCAGTGCCATTTCTACCTTGTGAACGCCAGCCATTTCTCTCCTTTCTTCCCAAATGCCCTTGGATTTTAAAATGGCAAAGTTACAAGCAGTTTCCAAAAAATTTACTTTGCAGAAAAAATTTGAAATGTAGCATGCTAAAAATAACTGAAGTTTGGTGGAACTGTAAATTAGGAACTGAAATAATTGAAATGATTGATATTAAAAATTAGAATAAGATCCCATGGTTAGTCACTCAGAAAATCTAAGAGGGGTAGTGTTGAAAAAAGACAAAAGTATGTTGTGTAATAAGTGAACTGCAGCAGAAGTATTAATTTCAAAAGAATAAACAGAAGTTATCACCCATAAAAGAATGGAAATAGGCAATCCAGCACAGGATTTTAATGTATAAATTTTCTTTAAACTTTTAGAGAAGGGACAATGAACATGCAAAAAAACTCATCGCAACTTTGAAAAAGTTTGTTTTTTCTTGGTGTAGTAATATGCAATATACAAATACTGGGAAGTAAATTTGGGGTAGTAATTTTACAAAATACATCCAAGTGTTGCTCGCCTTCCTATAGCTATACTACAGAGGATAAAGCACAATCTATGGCTCTTCATCCAAAGAGCAGTTCTGTAGTTGTGCTGCATGGAGTTTTCAGTTTATCCAATACAGTCACCCATATTGATTTCAGCTTACACAGTGAACTGTTCAGAGGGTTTATGAACTAGGAGCAGCTCAACACTTAAAAAACAGTAAAAATAAAATAGGGTTACACTGTATCTAGAGGATTAAACACATACAAACCTCCATTTGAACGACCACTACTAGGATCAAATCCATCAGAAGAATTGTGTCGCCTACGGTTAACTTCATAACGATTCTCTGTCCATGAAAAGCTGTCGGAATGCTTCTCAAAATTCAGTGATGACTAAAAGTAAACACAAATATTAAGTGAGGTCTACAACAGCAAAACTAAATAAATCATCTTCAGCTACTATGTTGGCATGCAAGAGTGCAAAGGTTTGGTGTTTAAACACTTTTTAGTTTTTCTAAATCTGAAGCCACTAAAATCATACCCAATATTATTATTATTATTTATTAAATTTATATACCACCCTATACCCAGGGGTCTCAGGGCGGCTTTAAGAATAAAATCAAAATATAAAACCACAAAATACATAATCAAAATAAAAACAACAACCCAATAACCCCCCCCCAAAAAAAGCCACATTTTAAAAGGGCAAGAGTAAAGGGGAGATAAAGTCATAAACTTCCAGAGCAACTGACAAACAGCACTCTGCCATTTTACCTGCGTTCTGTGGCTGCGAGGTATAACTATCATGAAATATATTAGATGAGCAGCAGACTGGTTTCCAAGGTGAGCAAGTTTGAAAGCCAAGGCTCCACTATCAAAAAGGTCCTACCATATAGCCTCACCTACACAGTGGTGATGAGACACAGTACAGGGTCACTAACTTATTACCTCACCTGGCAAGCTAGAGAATCTTTTGAAACAACTGGGTCTGAAACTGTAAAGGCTTTTAAAGGTAATGACAAAATTTAATTTACCTCTAAAAGAAACTGTGAGCCAGGGCAAATTAAACAGTAGCAGAGTCATACTGCTATAGCACCATTCTTTGCTATCACTGTACAAAGCTATACAGTGGTACCTTGGTTTACGAATTAATCCGTTCCAGAAGTCCATTCTTAGACGAAAGCGTTCTTAAACCACGACGTGCTTTCCCATAGCAGTGGGGGACACAATTTACAAATGGAACACACTCAACATGTTCTTATTCCAAGGCAAAGTTCACAAACCAAAACACCTACTTCCAGGTTTGCAGCATTCTTAATTCAAATTGTTCATAAACTAAGCTGTTCTTAAACGAAGGTACCACTGTATTGGCCAGCTAAAACTGCCAACTATTTGTAACCTCCTGCATTTTCATCCTCATGACCACCTATTCTTTGAGGTATGTTCTATACAGGCGTACCTTGGAAGCTGAATGGAAGCCGTTCCGGAAGTCCGTTAAACTTCCAAAATGTTTGACTTCCAAGGCACGGCTTCCAATTGGCTGAAGGAGCTCCCTGCAGCCAATCAGAAGCTGCGAAAGCCCCGTCAGACATTCAGCTTCCAAAGGAATGTTGGCAAACCAGAACACCCACTTCCACGTTTGCGGCGTTCAGGACCCAAAATGTTCAACTGCTAAGGCGTTCGTCAACCAAGGTACGACTGTTCAAGTCACTGAAAGATCTGCTACCTTGTGTTACTATTTCGATACAAGTTTCAAGAAATCTTGCACCTAAGTGCAAACATGCAGTCTGCAATTTCAGCACATGGTGGAGCTAGTGTTCCATCAAGCATGCTGATATTGCAAAGTGAGTTGTTAAAAGTTTGGTTGATTTATGACCTTTCAAGCTATTATTGATCTTTACCCTATTGCAAGGTAGAAAACAAGTTGATACCAAAGAACAGGGGAAGAGAAGTATTACATCTTGCAAACAGAATCTGGTGGCATTTTCACTTAAAGGTTTACAAAGCAAGATCTTTTCTGGGTTTTGTTGGGGGGGTTGGTTCTTTACACACCACCAGAAAGTCATTTTTAGCTTAAACTACTCTACACATTATTGGCATCACAACGTATTTCCAGTTTGCTTTTCCCATTCCCTCATGAGGTTTTATATGAATGTTAAGATAAGGTCAATGAGAAACAAATGAGCACTACAAAACATATATTTACATTGACCAGTCACTTTAGTGACACAGCCCCCAGCCCTGATTTGCGTGGGGGTTGCATTCCAGGTCATTGGGTGCAATGGCCACTTCCAGGTTGCCACAATGTGTGTGTGTGTGGTTGCGCATCAATTGGACACACAAAAATCGTCCGTTGCCTGTACTATAATAATGCAGCTGATGTTGCTTTGCAGTCACACTAAATACCAAGAACTCATGTCCAGAACAAGTCAGAGTGATTAAAAACAATACATTACATTCAAAGCCACTCACTCATCAGACTTCACTTCCTCTCCTTCCTCTTACAGGCCCCTCAAATTTGCTCCAGAGGGTCCTGAACCCTTAAGCCAACTTGAGGGTGCGGATAGACGGCTGCAGGAGGGAGGAGAGGAAGATAGAAATCCCACTGCATGAGTGGAGCTCCACTTGTACGAGGTTGGATTCTGTCCAATGTGATAAACACCAGATTTAAGATGTACATTTACTTTTCAAATAAGTCCCACATTTCAGTAAATGTGCATAGGTTCAGGCTCCAATAAATGTCAAGAAATGAAGGCTAGGCAAAATTATTTCTCTACAGGTCATCCATGCTGCTTGATTTGTAGAGTTTGATTATTCATAGTTAGAGAATTTAATCATTTTCAATCACATGTAAATGGCAAGCATAAAGCAGGACAAGAACTTAGTGAGCTTTGTCTCTAAATGGATGTCAGATCCACTGCAAAGTCCACATTAACACAACATATGGCTTGTTCTTTTAAACCATGGTGATCTTTTGGGGGCATTTGACCAGTCAAATACCATATTTTTCCATGTCCCCCGTGTATAACACGAGTCCTATTTTTTGGGACTCCAAATAGAGAAATCTCCCATATGCACTGTCCATGTATAAGATGACCCCCCTCATTTTAAACTTGAAGAAATAGGGGGGAAATATAGTCTTATACACGGAAAAATACAGTAATTATCAAGTATTTTTCCAGCAAAACACTATGGGTAAGATCCAGAGACAATTGAGTGGAACTCTGCTCACACATCAGTTTTTCTGGCTCCTCCCTAGACCCAAATGCTGTGAATGAAGATTGATAGACCCCCTGGAACAGAGTGGAATGGGACAAAGGAGTCAGGAAAGGGAAACTGGACAAATCAGGCAGATCTACTTTGTTCAAGGGGAAGCACTTTTCCACTTGTGCAAAAAAAAATCTCTGGATCCAAGCCGATGAGATAAACAGGGTTGACACTTATGCCAACTACACACACACACACCACAAAACCCCAAATTACATAGCTGTTACTGCGAAACAATGATATAAAAAGAGCAATAAATTATTGGGCAGATCTGAGCATTACATGAATGGACTTCTGCTAACAGAATGGGTCTTTGCCTTCCCAAAATCCGCTCCAGAGTTGCCCAACCCTCTAAAGCAGGTTTTGAGGATGTGTGGAGAGCTGCAGGGGTGAAAGTGAGGAAGGTAAAGTTCATTGAACGTGCACATGGACATGGTTGGATATGACCCTTTAAAAAACTTTTTAAACCAGTCCTTCCTCCAGAGAACTTACGGTGGCAAACATACATAAGCTGAAAACTATTCAAAACAATAAGCACCACAATGCAATTTGGGGAGGCAAGAAGGTAAGCTCTGCAGAGTAGTATTCCTACTGCTGTAAAATAATGGCCAATTTACAATGTTTTATCTGTTTAAAACATAATTCTATTAACATGCTTGTATCATAATAATGTTTCATTTAAACTAGGCTATTTTTAGAAAGAGAGGCATACACCAATAGGATTTTAAACAAAAAACCCCAGAAAAATCTGGAACATACGGTCAGCACCAGCTGACCACTTTTCTTGCCTGTTTGTTTGCTTGCTTGCTTATTTTAAATGAATTTTATAGTCAAAAGGAGGTGAGCCAGGCATGCACTTTTGGTGATTATTCCCAAGTTAATTGTGGTGTTTACTATTAGGGCAGCAGAGGCAAATTACATTTGATTGCTGCAGTCAACCGCCCTGAGACCTACGGGCATAGGGCAGTATACAAATTTAATAAATAGTAATAACTATCATGGTGGCATGATCTGTTTAAATTGCGAAATTTAGCCTCCCTTTTGGAAATCAGTTTTTCTTTGAGATTTTTGTTCCAATATCTCTTGAATATATAAACCAATGAAAAGCATGGAGTTGGGGGGTGGAGGAGAGAAGGGTTGGAGTCATTACATCATTAAGTCCAGGATCTAACAGTAGCTGCACTACTGCACTAACAGTAGCTGAGTCTGGTATACTAATGAATGGTTTACACAACCTCTGCTAATTTCAAAAGTGAAAGAAAGATAAGTGGGTGCTGATACTCATAATGAACTGTAAGAACAGACCTTTGATGATGATGGTGGAGTAGGAAAATTAAGCCAGGCTGGAGCAAAGTCATGCTGCGCCATTTAGGTCCAGTCTCTCCAAATCAGTGAAAACAAGGCTTCAACACCTCATGGCAAATACCTATCAGAGAAGTGAAATGTAGGATATATATTTTTAATCACGTATCTTGCAATAAGACTTTTATAGCCCCAAAGAAACTTAACAAGTGAAAAGAACCACAATAACATTCAAGAATCACAGCTAACACAAACACAAATTTTAAAAAGCTATTCACCAAGTGTACTTGGAAAAGCACTGAAATAAACTGGGAGTCAGTGAAGATTTTAACACCAGCAATGTTAATGTCTTAGACTGCAATTCTAACCACACTTACCTGGGAAAGTCCCACTTAATTCAGCAGGACTTGCCTGTAAGAAGACAGTTAGGATTGCTCTGCACATTCCGTAAGAAGCCACTGCTTCTGTGTGCCTTCCTCCTTGCTTTTCACCTCCTGGTGCTGTGATTGCTACCACAAATTCAGAAGCAGGCAGAAACAGTTCCTCCTGCCACTCTTTATAGCAATCCATGGCAGCAGCACCAGATTTCAACATCAGCCACAGATGAGGAAAGTGGCCAGTAGCAGCACCAGCTGGCCTGTGGATCTGGATCCTGGGCCCTGAGACTGACAGGTGAAGGATCTAGCAGAGCTGGAAGACCACTGCAGCCTGTTCTGGGAATCCCTCTATGAGCTACCTATCCATCACCTCCCAATACACTGTATTTTGGATTGCCACTTATCTATAGTCAAGCAAACTGCAGTGTGAGATTATTACATTTTTAATATATGGGCAGATATATTTTGAGCTTAGCCTGTCTGCTAGGTTAAAGGCAGAAAGACTGAAGAAAGGCATGCTCTCTACCACAAAAGGCATGTCACAAGTCAGTTCTGCAGCAACTCAATGAAGAATATTCCCTTCTGTCATAGGAAAATGAGGATTTTCAAATGACAGTACCAATTCCTGACTACCACAGAGTAAGTGCTTGGTATTACCCTCATCTATATATACATATCTGGCATTTAACAGTTTTCTGAATCTTTAGATACTGTATGTATTCCGACTTCCATTTTTATTTGACCCTCAATACTGAACAAAGTTGCTCGGCCCTTTTACAGGCTACAATGATCTTAACTGCTGAGCAACAGTATGTGACAGTTCCTTTTCAGTTCAGTTCATATTCAGTTGCTGAATATCTGATAGCCATCTTCATCTTCAGCACTTCATTAATTATGGATTTCATGTATAATATGGAAGTTTTACAAGGAGTTTCTCTGGCCAACTGACAAAAAGTAAAATCTGCACTCATTTTCACTATGCCACTATCTGACACCTCGCTCTGCCAAGGCCAAGCTCATGTAGTAGTTTTAATACAAGCATAGGCTAAAATGCACCCCAGTATACAGTCATTTGACAACCAGGTTGCTTCCCACCCTTCATATTCTTAAGGGCAGTCACTGCATCCCTTCTGCAAGCTTTCCATTCACAGAAAATCAAGTCTGGGTCTAACGTAGTATAAACAAAAACAGTTTTAAATTGTTTTTTGGTTGCTTTTATTTCTAGTTTCAAATAAAACAGTCATCATTAGAAACTGTAAACTCTAGGGAGAGTGAGCATATCAGGTTACAATCAAAGCTGACAACCCAATAAAATGTCGCCTAAGTTTAATTTTATTCCACATCAATCCATACAATCATGGGTGCAGTCATTTAAACTGCATCTCGCAGCTCTAGAGTTGAAGGTCACCACTTTCTGGAAAACGCTACAGCTCAGTCATGTCATCATACCAGCTACACTACACAATTCAAAAGCAAGAGTGGATGGGGTTTTCTATTAAGTATCTATCTAATGGCATGGAGATGTTGTTAGTGGAGCGCAGGGGCTCTAACATCTTGTAAGCAGCAAGCTATATTTGATGTGTTTCCAAGTCTATGTTGAAAAGCACTTAAAAGCTGTTAATGACTGCATGAGTTAATTTCTATAACTTTTTACTGAATTTTTATGCCCTTCAGATTTCAGGGCAGTTTACAAAAATATAAAAAACTATTTCTAATCAGAAGAATAGGGTGAGTCCATATTACACGTGTGTGTGTGTGTGTGTGAGAGAGAGAGAGAGAGAGAGAAATTTCAGGATATAGAGTACCCAGGTACTTATCACCCTAAATTGGCTACTTTCAACAGTTATGTTACTAAGAATTAAGAAGAAATGCATCGCCATCAAGTCTTAGGGGTTGCATAAGAAAGGAAATGCAGTTCAAAGAAATAGCAGAGAACACTAGAGCAATGGAGAGCCTGGCTTATGACCATACCATGTACACTTAATTTGCTCCAGGGCTAGAACAAGGTGAAACAGCCCTGAAAAGATATCCAAAGTAGAAAAAGAATCATGATTATTCCACTCTTCAGACTTGTGCGCCTCATTTGCACCACACAGTAAGCCGCACCATGGCGTGATAGGATTGTGCAAATGTGCAGGACCATGGAGCTAAGCCAAGGTTGGCACCAGTATTTTGTTTGTGGACACCTCACAGGCTACAGACTTGCACTCTCTAGCACTTGTCGTGCAGCAGTTGTCATTTGCAGTGTCTTCATCATGATTAGCAGCAGGACTCACTTATAAGCATACCATGCATATATACAAGACTGGCCAAATTGTGTAGTTTCAAAACTGCTTTTTTGTTTTTTGTCCGTAAGAAACAATAATGCACTTATAATAAGTATCATAGCTCCTTGGATGTGCTAAATTTAGTTACAGTAGGAGTTTCACATTTCCCAAGTATAAAGCAATTAATCATAACATTTTTAATTATCGATCCACAACTACACCATCCTAGAATGAACAACAGTCATCTCATCACTGTACTGCATACAAAGATCCTTACAATGCCTAACATTTCTAAAATACCATTTGCAATGTTAGGAGCTGCATATACTGTGAAGTGCTGGATGACCAATTTATCATGTATGCACTCAATTCGGGCCAAAGAGAGAACCTGCAGGAACTAACTACAAACCCCAATGGAGAACATGCTATGATTTTGGAACACTGAAAACCCAAAAGTAAATGCCTCAGTTTTCGAACGCGCCTCAGAATTCAAACAGGAAATGCAGCTTCCATTTTGAGTTTTCCATTTTGAGGCTTCCGCTTTCAGTTTTTGTTTTTTGAACATTTCGGAACTTGAACAGACTTCCGGAACTGATTACATTTGAAAACTGAGGTACCACTGTATCTCACCTTTCTTAAGTGGAAATTCCACAACTGGAATGCTTTGTGCCATGCTTCCACCAACTTTTATTCTTTAGGTGGCGGTACATAAAACAAAGTCTCAGAAGACTATATTCTACAAGTGGGTTCACAAAGGAGGAGGTGCCCTTTCAAACCCTGGCCTCAAGTCATTTACTGTTTTATAGGTCAACATTAGCTCATTGAATTGGGCCCAGAAACAAATTGGAAACTATATAACTAAAGCAACACGGCCTACAAAATACACACCAGAAAACAATTGTTTTTACATACATTGGGATTCTAATACTGTAAAAGCAACCACATGAACTCACTGAGTGCAATGGGGCTTACTTCCAGGGAAGTGGGCTAAGACAGATAACTTGTATGGAATTGTTTCTACACAATACAAAAGTTTCAGTTGCATAATCAGAAACTATCATTCTATGACTTCTATCAGGATTTGTCATCATTGTAAGATGCGGCACACATTCTGAGGCACACTTTTTAATGCTTCTGTGGAAGGAAAATTACAGAATATCCTGTTCAGGACTAAGATACAATCTATGTAGCTGGTTCCACTTCAAGCTGCAATTAAAATTAAAGACCTACACAGTAAGAAACTGCATACATTATATACATACTGTACTATATAACTCAAATTCTTACTTTTGATGCCTGAATTAAGTCTGAAATTCTTGCTAATCATTTTAGCATGCACAGGTATGAAGATTTCCTTCACTTCTGTACAGAAATTGTACAAAAACTCTATTGATGTCAACATTTTAGACCTCTTGCCAAAGATCCACAGAATCGTCAGGGGATTTCTGCAAGCACTTTTAGGAAAGATGGGGAATGTCTGCACTGAGCTCTCAACCAAGCATGCTGTACTAGGAAAGGGGAAATTCGGCAGACACAAAGAAAAAGCTAACTAAATAGAATTTTCAAAGATAAGTAGTCAAAGTCAAAATATCAACAGAGATCAAAAGAATTGTTTATTCACTGAAGAATCTTCACTCCCAGACTTCACTTCAATCTCTGATTTAAGGTTTTAAATTGTCAAATTTGGGGGGAAGATTAACATACGTAAATATGCTGGAGTTTAAGGTGATTTGAATTGTGCCAAATATCAGTCACTTACTTTGTAACTAGGTTGTTTTGTCCATCTTATATATTTTTTGAGGCAGCACTGGATTCTGTTGAAAATAAACCTGCAGGAAATTTAAAATGTTATAATTAAACACAACTGTATTCTCATTGCCCTAATGAAGCTATCCAAGTTTTACTTCTAATAAAGTACAGAGCAAGATAAATTTAGAAGTAGTTAATCTACTGTGTTGACTCAAGTATTCTGCTGGAGAAGAAATTAAAACGGAGGATCTAAACAGCCAACTAAAACAGAACATTCTGTAGCCAAGCTAAAGCTTAAGAGATCAATCCTATTTGGTATAGAGAAACCTTTTGCCCATCCTATCATGTATAGAGTGACACCAAGCCCTTGGTCCAGTGCAGACCAGCCACCACCATTACTGCATAAGCACTAAGGCACCCAACATCATCAAAAGGGGTTTCACATCTTTAGCACAGCCATACTGCATAAATGCACTAGCAAAAATGTATTTTAAATCCCAAGCCAGTGGGATTGCTGTGGACCCTAGCAGGTGTTTGAAGTATTTTGAAATATATATTTTAGCATGCCTGAACAATTTCATAAATTGCAGTATGCTCTTGAATGCCTTTGCTTTCTGCACCCCTCAACAATTAATGGGGAAGTTGTCTTATACCATTTCAGTATTCCAGCATCTTCATTTAAAAAAAACAACAACAGTGTCTGAGCCTGTGTCTACTCATAAGCAAGTTCTACTGAATCCCATGGTACTTAGTTCCAGTAAGAGGGGCTAGATTACTGCCTAACATAGCAGGGTTCCGATTTATCCCAATTGAAATGAGCAAGAAAATGAAACTATCAAATGTGTGTTTAGTAACAAGCCACTGCAAAGTACAGTACAGTCACACTTTAAGCACATTTAACTTGTGTTTATTTCAACCATACACCACATAAGTGCAAGTGAAATCCAAGCAAGGAAAAGAGATTAAAAGTTCTTTTCACGCTGGGTCCACTTGGGTTACCCAGCAAAGAGAGTTTTCAAGCACTCCACCTTGCTTGCTAAGCAAGGCCTGCTGAGTGTGCCAGCTCCAGGAGTACTAGGAATTCTTTCTCTCTCTCCTCCACCCTCCCCATCTGCTATCCATTTGGGTTTGGGTATATACGGAACCACTGGAACCAAACCTCTGCATAAGATGCAACCCTACTGTACTGCAAAGGCTCATTTGACCCTGGGGTAAATATTATTCAGCATGGTGGCTCTCAAACACTGGAGTACAACTGGTACCAGTCTAAGACCACATGGCTAATTATCCACCTATTTAGGTGGATAGGGCACTATTTAGGTTAACCCTGTTCAAGGGGGTGAATTCTTCTTCAAGCTGGGCTTTATCTTAGCATAAAGAACTATTTAACTATACAACTAGATAAAGAACTATGAACTTTACTATAAGCCCAGTATTTCAGCCAGGTATTTTTTGGTTTCTATTTTATTTTCTCTCCTGTTATGGGTCAGTATTTCTCCTGTGCATATTAAGTTTCTGTTTTACTTTCTCTTCTGTTTTCTCCACTCTAACTTCCAAAGAGGATTGCTTCTAATTCATGAGTTGTATCCTTTCCACTGTCACTTGCCACTGGCTTGTCAACAAAATTAACAAATGCTCAGCTATACATCACCAGACACCAGCAGTTGCTTGGCATAAACAACTCTCTGTATGTGTTTTTTCTGGAGATGAAATATAACAATGAATAATCAAAAATATTAAGTTGATGTTGGCCCAGTTTGAATGTTAGCAGTAAATCATGGTCTAAAACAAACCACATCTCACCACAAACAAGTAGTGTGCTAGCACACATGGATCAAGTGTGCCTGCCCCTCTCTTCTTGTGCATATCATAAGGAAGCAAACCAAGCTTAGCATTTCCAAAACAAACTAGAAGCTAGAAGCAAAGAACAAACCTTGGCTTCTTGAGTTAAATGAACCACAAGTGCTGTAGTTTATGGCTTACTATTAACCAGGCCAACATGGGGGCCAATGCACCTCATTTTTTGTGGTAGACTACATCTTTGGAAAGTGGCACCAAAATCATTTCAGAATCATATACAATGGAACCCTCGGTTGTCTAACGTAATCCATTCCGGAAGACCGTTCGACTTCCAAAATGTTTGACAACCGAGGCACAACTGCCAGTTGGCAAAATCCATTGAAAAAGTGGGGAAACGCGCCTCAGAAGCCATTTGACTTCCAAGGCGTATTCGAAAACAGAAGCATTCCGAATCGTTTTACTTCCGAAACATTCGACAACCAAGGTTCCACTGTACCACTGTATATATTGGCAGCTAGGGCTTTAAAAATGCTTTCTGTAAAATATCAAAACAAATTGTGTACAAGGTTAATGGGCATTTAGAGGCAAAAGGAGCAAAGCATCACACATCTGCACTGGGGGATAGCATATGCCAGTATCCTCTTGTAAAAAAAATTATTGATATCAGGTGAAGATCTGAGTAGGATCAGGGTTCCATTTTATAAATCTAAAATTGTTCCAAGTGGCTATGGACTATCATATTATTGTTTATTTAATTTCTATACCACCCTTCATCCAAGGATCACAGGGCAGTTTACAACATATAAATGTATACCATAATAACATACATAACATAGTATGTACATACATAGATACCATAGTAACAAATAAAAACAATAATCCCACTCGAACACACAGTTTAAAAGGCCATAGACAGGTTAGTTAAATAAAGGCCTGTCTAATTAAACAAAGGCCTGGGAGAAAGGGAATGCTTTTGCCTGGTGCCTTAAGATGAGGGCACCAGGCAGGTCTCCCTGGGAAGAGCATTCCACGTTCACAGAAGTGTTTCTATACCAACACTACTATATCTGCTACATACACATAAGAGACTAAACAGAATGAGAATTCTATCTAGACAGCTCACAATCAATTTTATATTTAGTGGCCAGTTGCAATCCTCTTGTGCCAAGCTTTAATACAGCTATCTTGAATTAAGCTAACCAGTTTTCTGGTTCAGACCTTACATGAAACTAAGATATTAATACTAAAATCAGGTGGGGGGGTGTAGAGGAGAAAGACAAATAAGGCTTAATCCTGGTCCAAAACTATCATCACAGCACTATCAAGATGCCTGGCACTGACCTAATGATCACTTCTGCACATGGTTCAAATCCTAAATAGGATGCAAGTCCATTTAAGTTCAATCAGATTCATTTTCAAGTAGTCATGAATCAGCTGAAACTTCAAATTTAAGTAGTAAGTATAAGCTTCCTTAGAATCCAAGCAAGTTCTGATATAGTTAAAATATATTTTCATGTGTTAACATGCCTCTCAAACTTTTGATAAAGAAAAATATTAACACAAGCAAACTTACAATTAATATTTGTAACAATTGTAGTTTCAGGCAATACTTACAAAATCCAAGAGAACTGCACAGATTGGCATTAACTCTCCGTGATTTGCGTTTTCCAGTTTGCTTCCCTTGCAGTAATGATCCGAGTTCCTTAAAGATACTACATCCGTAGCTATGCAATACAAGGGCTGATTATTGGAAATCAGCTACCCATTCTTCACATTTAAGGACTCCAAAAAGTTATTTTCAAAAAAGTCAGACAAGTCTGGTTTTAACAGCCTGTCTTATCTTCTGACACTTCTTCACTTTCCTATTCCGCATATATCTTACTATCATAAACATCAGTTCCAAAAGAAATAAATACACCTTTTATGACATAAAGAATAGAACTGAGAAGTCAAAGTCTGCATTCAATATGAAGTTCATTTCTAAGAGTCGATTCAGACATCCACACACAGCAGCTATCTGGATATTCCCATATTGCTTCTTCAGAACACTACAAAAAAACCCCACTAAAAAATGAAAAATAAAGCTCTTTGTCTCTTCATTTAGGAAACAGACATCATTGTAAAAAGTAATTCCAAATTGCCTAAAAAATGAAAGCAATATTTGCCATAAATTCTACATCAATATTAGAAAAATTGGGAGCTACATTTAATATAATCTTCTAGACTTAGTTGACAAATCAAGTCAATCTCTGTTTTGACTGAAATGTTTGAACTAGAAAGCAAAAACAGTTCTTGAAAGTAGCATGCAGAACTTAAGAAGTTTATACAATTATCCATTCCATATGGAGAAAAATTAGTCCAAGATGATATCCTGAATTTAAGGGGAAGCAGGAGAAGAATCTCAAAAGTTCATAAACCGGGTTCTGCAGGCTTCAGAAGTGTTTGAAGTGGAAAAGCAACTGAACAGGTTATAATCCCAATTCCCTTTTTAGTCAACGTTTTCCCTTTCAATCGAAGCAGACTCTGCAGGTCAGCATCCAGCTACCTTTTTTTCACAGGCTGAGGCAACAGGTTGCAAAATATCCAAGATCATGTTCAGAATCCAGATCACCTAGAAGTGGGGTAGGAGGCTGGGGAAAAAGAGACAAGACATACTGCAATTAATGTTCCTTTCTCGAGACATCTAGGAAATCTGCAACATTATGAATCTGCTCTCTTGAGAATAATGAACACCATGTACTTGTGAACAAGGAAGCCTTAAAATAAGGACATGCAACGAAATCCACGCGGATTGCGCTGGAAACATATGCTGGAGTCAGCAGCGAAAAGGGGAGGGGAGGAGGTCCTACTCCAGGGTGAAACGGCGGTTGGCGTAAGAGTACTATCACGGGAGGCAGGCGCGAAGAAAACCGGAAGAATTAAAAACTCCCACCAAGCACGTTCCTTGGCCCAATTTCGTACCAAAAAGGAAAAGAAAGAAATAATAAAGCTAAAAGCTACAACGAACCAACCGAACAAAAGGAAGATCGGTGAAACGGGAGGACTTGCAGCTGCAACCCCTAGGCATAGTTAGTCGGGAGAAGTCCCCACGCCGCGCCGCTGGGCTTACTTCCGAGTAAACACACGATAGGAACCCCCCCCCCCAAAGAGGTGACAATCTCGGATCCGTGACCGGAGGAAAGGAGGAGGGGCGCGAGGAGGAAAGGCGTCCGCGGCTCTCCGAGCGTCTAACCTACGGGAGTGCGCACGCGTTTCCTGCCCAGGTTTCGCTCTCCCTCCTCCTCCTCCCGTCCCATTTCATGGCCAGGTAAAGTCGGGGACGAGTCCTCCCGCTGGAGGTTGTCATATTTACACCCTCGCTCGCTCGCAATCCGCCCGCAGGGGGTTCGAAGCTGCTGCCTCCAACTGCCGCCCCTCGACCAAGCCGGGGCCCAACAGAGCTGGTGTCCCGTTTATTTCCCCCCCCCCGCCCCGGTTGGAAGAGGAAGGGAGACGGAGAAAGGACGGAGAGGCCACATGCCCAGGGCTCGATGCAGGCCGGGGGGCGGGGGGAAGAGACCGAACTACGGGAGCCGCGCTCCGGCCGAGGATCCTTCGCAGCTGCGGAGCCTCAGAGCCCCGTTTCTCCTGCCTCTTCTCCCCCGGGTACGGGCCCGCTCGCCTGCCTGGCTCCGGAACCCCACGCTCCGCACACGCAAACATTGTTTCCTCCGCCACCTCTTCCCTCAGACCGACCGACCGACCGGCGAGGGGGTGGCATGGAGGAAGGAGGAGGCGGCGGCGGCGTCGCCGGCGTACCGCGGCTCTAACCTGCCAGCCAAGTCCCGGCCAAGCACAGCAGCTCCTGCGGGGTCCCGGATTTGAAAGCTCCTTTTTGCCGCCGCTTCTCCCCCGCCGCGCGCACAACTCCTCGCTCCAGTCAGTCAGTCAGCCCCAAAATGGCGCCGCTCCGAGCCGCAGCAGCGATGCCCTGCGCCCAAGCCTCGCGAGAGTTCGCCGCCAACAGCCGCCACGAGCAGCTAGACGAGGCTGGGCTTGTGTTGGGGGCGGGAGGGAGCGCGCGAGCGCCCGACGTTCTACGACACTGTGTACATGTGCGAGGGAGAGGGAGAGGATTCTGGCTTGTGCGAAGCGGAGAACTCCAACGACAAGACACATACGACAGAACGCGCGCGGAGGTTTTAAGGGACCCCCGAAAGGAGAGGTTTCGTGGAACCCCCGCTTCACGCCTCGCGCTCCGAAACGGCACCTTTCTCCTCCTCCCAACACCTTGGCTTGCGCGGCGCTGCTTCGGCTGAAGGCGCACCAGCCCGCGAGCAGCGCCCCCCTCGCGTGACGTCACTCGGAACAATCCCGAACGTTCGGAGAGCGGCGAAAGGGGGAATCCCCTCAGCGAGCGCGCTGCTTTTTCAAGTTGGAGGGAGGAGGGAATCCCCGGCTGCCGGCTTCTGCAGCGCGGCGAGCGAGAGGAAGCCAACGGCGGCTAAAGTGGATGTCGTTTCCCACCCTCCGCGACAGCGGCTGTATATTGCATGAGACAAAACGCGACCGTCCCCGCCCCCCGCTGTTTTATTTGAGGATTTATTTATTTATTGCCATAACTGGTGTTTTGGTTTCGTTTGTTTTTTTTAAAAATCTGTTTAATCTGCTGGCTCCTAGTTTATTATACTGCATTTTGCATTTCGGTGGATTTGTTTTTGTAAGCCACCTTGAAATATTACATATTTGTATTTTTAAAAAAATTGACTGATGGCGTGCTTCGCCAGCCTCCCTTCCCACAGCGTTCATTGTCTGGCTCTGACAGAAGGAACGTAGTGACTCATTATTCTGCGTCATGCTATGCTGAAAACATTTGTTTGTTTTTAAAACACCATACCCTGCCATTGATTAAATAGTAATAAGGCAGCTTTATTACAGAACACTGAAACAGATTGGCCATCGTTTTAAAAACAAAAACAAACCACAGAACAGCAAATCCAATCCTACAAAGACAGCAATTCAGGTTTACCCATCCATAGGTGCACCAAAGCGCACATGGGTCACATGGATTCACTTTTTCCATATGTGCTTTTGTGCACATTTATCCATCCATGAGCACTTTCAATTCAATCTCAGTGTTTCCCATGCACACTAGGGGGGAAATCAATTTTTTTTTTTGCAGAAAGAAAGATTTAGGTACTGTTGAGCAGGTGAAGAGTACACTTGCTTCACTATTGGTTTGCTTCACTGAGTTTCCCTTTACCTCAAGACATTAGGGCAGTGGTTCCCAATTAGCTAAGTACTGCAGACACCCTGTTTTTCAAAAGTCAAGCAATGGACCCCTCTACTTTTGAACATTGTAATACCTCCGTGGTAGTTGTGGTTATGTGAATGGTGCCATGGACACCCTAGGTGGGTTATGCGGATCCCCTTGGGTCCGCGGACCACCAATTGGGAACCACTGCATTAGGGGAAAGGACCCAGGCAGGACCTCTGGAGGCAAAAGTCCAGCTCCCCACTTAGCATCATGGGCAGTAGGAGCTCAAATGCAACGTGGCTGGTTTATCACAGTAACACAGGGGCCCCGCCATAAAACAGTTCTATCCCGAATCTCAAATTGTCTACCTACATTGTTGTTGTTGTTAAAGTCCCATTATCTCGTTTTCCTACAAAGCACGGAGTAAGCAGTTTGAAGCAGAAAGACAGCCTTGCACGGAATGTCACTATAGCAACAGTGGTGCACAACACTCAGTGTACTATCCAGGTTACAGTATTTACATGTGCGATAGTGGGGTGAAAGTCCTAGGACATCAGTCAGATTTCATTCAGAATTACAGTAGTCTTTAATTCGACTAGGTGGTGGATACACACACACACAGTGAGAAAGAACACTTTCTTTTTGTTTTAAAAAAAGGTTCCAGTATTCCTATCTTTATAAAAGTGTTGTGGGTGCCAGCACAAAGTGATTAGCCTGGGCAGCAAAAAAAGGAGGTGAAAGTACTCCATACCAGGGAATACTATCACAAAAAGCACTGCACACACATAGAATAATTGCTCTTTTTTTCTTTATTTTCAGTTTCCATTGGCTTTGTCAAGGGATGTGTGACCTTTCTATCACTCTTTGCATTCTTGGCAAACAAGAATTCCTTCATCATGAGCACTGTGCAAACAACGCAGATGCGTTCTTGACATCTTATTTTCCACCCGGTTTCCTAAAAACAGAACCAACAGACCTGTCTCAGAAGAACTCAATCACTGTCAAATACTATAAAGTCAACAACATTCTTTGTCAGCTAGGAAAGCAGCATGTCAACAGTATGAGTCAAGATGTGGCCAAATATGGCCCATTCAGTCATGCCAAATGAAATCAAAAGCATGGATGAGGTTGTGGCTCTTCCAGTCATTTTTATAATCATGGATCACAACTTAATATTCATCCTGTGGAGCCCAAAAGCATGTAATATCATTTTGTTCCTGCAAGCAATTACATGTGTGGCCAAACTCCAAAAGCCATATGAGAGATTTGTATAAGCCCCAAGGCTTCCAAAGTTTTCTTTTTTATAACGCCCTCCTCTGTTGCTGGAATTTTTTTTAAAGAGGTTTGTAGACTGGAAATGCAAAAGAAACCCAAAAGAAACTTAAGCATAATACATTGGTAAGGTAAAGGTACCCCTGCCCGTACGGGCCAGTCTTGACAGACTCTAGGGTTGTGCGCCCATCTCACTCAAGAGGCCGGGGGCCAGCGCTGTCCGGAGACACTGATCACGTGGCCAGCGTGACATCGCTGCTCTGGCAAGCCAGAGCCGCACACGGAAACGCCGTTTACCTTCCCGCTAGTAAGCGGTCCCTATTTATCTACTTGCACCCGGGGGTGCTTTCGAACTGCTAGGTTGGCAGGCGCTGGGACCGAGCAGCGGGAGCGCACCCCGCCACGGGAATTCGAACTGCCGACCTTTCGATCGGCAAGCCCTAGGCGCTGAGGCTTTTACCCACAGCGCCACCCATGTCCCTAAGCATAATACATAACTATATTTCAATTTCCCCCCTTTTCATGCTCATGTGGTCTATAAGACGCCTGAGCATGATTATGAACCAAGAGCACCCTAAAACCTTCTTTCTTATAACACCCTCCTGTGTCACCCTAAAAAACAGAGCATCAAAAATAGCAAGAAATAATGCAATAAAAAGAGAACATTACTGAAGATATGATGCATGTACAGAAGTGTTTGGAGGACTCATGCAAATGAGATAGAGTCCAGCCTATATCACTGATTTTTAAAGTTATTAACAGTGCAATCATATGCATGTCTACTTAGAAGTGTGACTGACTGTAAATCCAATAATTCAATAAAGCATTGTGTCACTGTTTGCAGGCGGAAATTTGAATTCCCTGGGAGAAAGCCAACTAGCACAGGGGCTCACCTCAGTTTTAGACATACAAAAGCATCTATCAATCACCACTAATTTGGTAGGTTCTCTAGTTCAAGACTTTATATGGCTCACATCAATAGGCCTTTATTTTGTTTTTCTTACAAGCTGAATGGATTCTCCATGGTCTAACATGAATGTGTGCAAATGAGAGTTTCACTCTGTACAATTTAAGGGCCAGTTTATACAGCCAGCAGAATCAAGTGGTAAAGCTTTTTCTGAACATCCCTATTTCTGGCTGCATATAGGGGTGCATATCATATTTATCAAAGGGTGGTGATGAAACATATACAAAATACAATATCAGGCTGATGGCAAAGCAGAACTCTTATTCCTGACATCCCAGTTCGCTGGGTGAAGGGATATACCAGTATATCTTTTGTATTATCTAGGGTAAAAATGTTAATGTATTGCTGATCCAGTGTTTGGAAGAAAGCCAGCTGCTATCTAAAAGATCACTGACTACAGTACTTGGAACTGGAAACTGAAATTGAGAATTATATGGTTAGCTAAAGCCACATTTAAGTACATACACAGTCTATAACTGCCAATCTATGAACTGCAACGATATGCTTTGCCACTTCAGTTTAATTTAACTGATAACTCATAGTTCATTGTTCATAATATTTAATTATTCACACTTACCTTTAATGCTTGAAAATTAATCAAGAAGAGTTAAGATTTATGGGGGAATTCAAACATCAGAACACCGGACATGATGGGATTTCCCCTTCTTCGACTTCCATCTGCAGCTTTTGCCCTAATCCACTTCAGATAGTCCCCTGACCTTCCAGAGCAGATTTTTGGACATGCAGGTTTGCACAAGCAGACATCGGTTGCACAAGTGGGACACCATAATTTGGTGTTTGGTTATTTGTGTTTGGTCATTTCCCCAAACTGCGTCTCCATGGAGTTAGGACGCTTCCAGACTGTCACTATTTTGGGGTTGGATTCAATCAGATATTGGCAAATTCAGGCTGGTGATTATAGTTGATTGGAAATCTCGCAAAACAAACCTACTTCCCCCAAAGATCTGATTTTCTGAGAAAATGTGCTGGAAATGCAGTATAATACTTGCTTTAATGCAAAGTCATTGGACCTCTCTGCAAACTGATTCAAGATGAATGTTCAGTAAATAGCCAATGTCATCTAACCTCCCGGGAAACAAATCAGAATGGATGTTCCACAATCAGGTACACCTGGGAGAACCCTCAGTTTGGTATTGTTATAGGGCTGGTAGGTTGGTTTGGGTGATGTATTTGCGTTCCAGCCAAGCCTGTGATTTTTGTATCTACAAGTTTGTGATTTGCAGTAAAAGGGACTGTTACATTAATGGAAATGGAAATACAGATAGAGTGTTGCTCTTTATTGGTTCAAGGTCCACACAAGGTTCACACATTCAGTTCCTTGGCTGGCTGACAGCATCTCCAACTTTCAATTTGCACCTCCACATTTGAAGATGGAGTATTGCTATTCTTCCTGTGTGATGCATGATTCACACATGTTGCCC